GAGAGGAAAGGCAGCTTTAGCATCACTGTTTTTTTTTTTTTTAAACATCAGATATCATAAATAAAATCAATGAGGGTCCGCCATTACTTAGGGAACTTCTCTACCTATGTACACATAATATTTTATTTTCTGTACAAATTTTATAACATTTTATTTCTCATTCTAAAATTTCCTTTTGATATAAGCCTGTGACTCAAAAAACTACGGCCTGTTTAGTTGTTTTTTTACTCCAATTTTTGGAGAATAAAAATTGTTTGATGATTATTTTTTTTTAAACAACTCACTTTTTAGGAAAGGTCAAAGTTGTCTTTCAACTTTTAAAATTGCTTTTATATAAAAATAAAATGATATGAAAAAAGATGGGAGTTTTCAAACTTTTCATTGTTTTCCTTTTTTCTCCTAAAACATGAAAAATAAAAATAAAAATGAATAAAAAATAGAGGAAATTACCACACAGTGGTGGTTTTAAAAAATTATTATAAATTAATGGAAATTTTATGATTTTAATTATTAATATTTATAAATTTTATCATTAATTTGTAATTAACTTTCAAAATATATCCTGAATGGTTATTTTCCCTAAAAAATGTAAGAGTTGCAAAATTATTTTTTAAATTAGTGGTAAGAAGATAATAGCAATAGGGGAAGAAAATCTGCAACTCACCGTTGTGTGATACTCAAATCAGCACATCATGTTTGGTAGGGGCACCCCAAACAAAATTAATTTAATGCGTGTCCATTTAATTAAGAAAGATATTTTGAATATATCCTTACTAAAATTCATAATTTACCTTGAAATATAATTGTATAGTGAAAATTAAATGGGAATGGTCTGGACCCCACTAGGGTGACCTCCCAGGGCCCCAATAGGCTCTGATTGATCAACTTATCTTTTTTGTTTTTTGATCCAATGACCATCCCCCACGTGTGTGTGGGGGGATGGGGGTGGGACTTTACTGGAGGTCTCAATCAAGGTTCAAATTAAATTGATAAAATGTGAAATTTATGTATAAAATGAATTTAAACCATTGATTCATTTTTTAAAATAAATTTTAAATTCATTAGTCTGAGTTTATAGTGTTATTATTTAACTATAGCAGGGTTATGATATGGGATTTTGGATGCCTCTTGTGCGGCCCTATGAGCTTATTTTAGGATCCGTTTTGATAATTTGAACCATTAATATTTTAGAATACATCGAGTAGAATATACCTGTAAAAAATTAAGTTAATCGGATATCGTTAACCTTTCCATCCACTCATATTTGTATTCATTTTAATACTTTAAATTACAATGTGATTTATTTTTCAAGATATAAATGTGAGTGAATGAAAATGTTAACAATATCAGATTAACTTGATTTTTGACAGATATGTTCTACACGATGTACTTTAAAATGTAAACGGTTAAGATTATCAAAACAGACTCCAAAATAAACTCATAGGACCACACAGTAGCAGCACAGCAGGCACCCCATTTCCTATGATAATGTGAGTTGGCTTTCCAACTAGAAGCAGTTGCAAGCGTACTTGACATTAAACAAAGGTAATATTATTCAATTAATGGGGTTACTCTAGTAAGTGAATTATATATGCCTATATGAATGTGGACTTTATTTTTCATCTATTTATTTGAGATTTCTATCTCCTTTTTAAAATTTTAAACGAGTGATATAAAATAATTTGTACATAAGCTTTAGTAAGAATGATGTAACTCATTTATATTAATTTATTAAAAGTCAAATTACTCATTACCATGATTAATAATTACAAACATATTGCACAGATTTTTTACATAAAAATTCTAAATGTTTAACAATTATTTTTTTTTAATGAAAATGACACAATTGTTTTCGCAACATGCCCCAACTACTTATCTTGCCATATATGCAAGTATCTTTCAAGGCACAATCGACTCTCTCCCTTAAATCAATCACTTCATTTTGTTTTTTCAACATCACCATAAATTATGGACCCAAACCTTCAAATTAAGTCCATTTTTTTTTTTTATTGAGAAACCTGGCAATTAGTGGACTGAATCAACAGATATAGTTGTTAGGATATGCATGGTTTCACATTGCTGCATCATGTGATCATCCTTGAGACTATGTCCAACTTAACAAAAAAATGAAAAATAAAAGAAAAAATAAAAATGCACACTTGGATTTTCTTGACTATTTGTATATACTTGTTGGTTTGTTATGTATCACAATTAGAAAATTTCTATTATCGGCTTGTAGAGCCAGCTCTTGCAAACTCTCGACTTAGAGTTTATCGAGTCAATATTTATTAAAAATTTCACTTGTGGGTTTTTTGACTTTCTCTACTTGTATGTAAGTTTTTCTCTTATTGTATTAATTTTGAGTTCTTTCTGATGTTATTTATGTGATTGTTGAATTCGTTGTATGCGTATAATGTATTGTTCAACTTTCTTACCTAACGAATGCAATTTAACAAAAATTTCTTCATATTTGTAAATTCTCTCTGAAAAATAAATACTAATTAGATTGAAAATTGATGTTTGAAATAGATGTTAAATGGTATGGGACACTAACATCTTGGGCCCTGGGAAGTGGCGTGATCTTGGGAAGGTCTATCACTTGTGGGGCTGTTAGTAAGCCGTAAGGCCACTTAAATCCAAAACAAAAACACTAAAATAATGCCACTTAAATTTGGGACAGATTGATGACAGATTTGCATTCACATTTCAGAAATTGATTGTGCCATTTTTGCCAGGTTTTACCACAACTTTGTGGCTTAATTTTTTTTTTTTAATTTTTAATAAGTAAATGTTTAGGGTCAAGCTTATCTCCACTCTGAGATCAGATTAAAGCGTATTGTTAGACTTGTGAGAGTCCATCACAGGTCCTATTTCGATAATTTGAACCGCTAAATATATAAAACTTGTCGAGTAATTTATCCTTGTAAAAATTTACGTTGATCGGATAGCGATAGCTACTTGATCGGATTAGATTTCTATCAACGGTAAATAATTTTTAAAATAACTTATTGACAAAAATCTGATCCGATCAAGTAGCTATCAATATCTGATTAATGTGATTTTTTTTAAAAGAATAAATTACTCGACGAGTTTTACATATACAACAGTTTGAATTATCAAAACATGACAGGTGGTGGGCCCTATGAACCCAACAGTATCATCCAATTCACAAAGTAGACTGGAGATAAACTTAGCTCAAGTTGTTATTACTAAAAAGAATATATATAACAAAATTCAAGATATGTATCGAAAGAATACACGCAAATACAATTGAGAGGCCCGTAATCTTATAGACGGGACAACTCAATTTTTTATTGGATCTTAAAAAAATAAAATCTTTACTAGTAATAAATTTTTAAAATATTTTTGAAGGCCTTAGATAATAGATTAAGTGGTCTAATGGTTGAACCATCTCTAATCATTACTTAATTGGCTCGGATTTCTCTCTTCCTATTTAATTCACCCCTTAATTTATTTCTTTCTATAAAATAATTTTAAAGGAAAAGCTTTAGTCTCACTCTTCTCTTCTTTGGAGCTAAACTAGAAAATACAACACCTTTGCCTTTCCTCTCCTTCAACTCTTCCCAATCAGTATCTTTGTACTAACTCTACTCTCTTTGACCCTCCATTTTTGGCTTGGATTTGAAAACACTTGGACCAATTGGCTTTGCAATATGCATGAATTGGCAAAATGACCAAAGAATTTTCATTCATCACTCTTAGAACTTTCATGGAACCTTCACTCTAATTTGTGGCTAATGTTTTTTCAATTAGCATTATAAAAAATTAAGGGTTTAAAGACCAAAATTTAGAGATAAAAATATTTTTTAGGGACCAAATATTTTTGTTACAAAAAGTGTTATTATTATATTTTTAGCAACAAAAATTAGACATTAGTGATGAATTATTATTCTTTAGGGACCAAATTTTTTGTCTCGAAAAATAAATCATTTTGAGACCAAATTATTTTGTCTCTAAAAATCTATTTATTAGTGACATTTTCAAAAATTTGTTGCTAAAAGCCTTGTTTTTAACTTTTTGAGATGACCTTTTAGTCACTATCTTCATGACACACTACAAAAAAATGAAGATTTAGTAGCAGCCAAAACTGTAGCTAAAAACAAGAAAAAGCATCGCTAAAAACTAAAACACCTTTACCCGCGGTTGCAATAGTGGCGGCCAAACCGCCGCAATAGCCCCGTCGGCATATCCTTACAGTGACGTTTTTCGCAAACGCTGGTATAGTTATTTTTATTGCGACGGTTGATGTAGTGGTAGTTACAAATGTCGCTATATCTTGAATTTACCAATTACTTGCTAACTTTATAGCGACGGGTCGACTGCTGCTATATCCTTCACTTTTGCGACATTTTGTAAACCGCTGCCATATTTTGACTCTATTCCATCAGTTTTACACTGTCGCTATAACCATAGAATTCGTTTCAAATTTTATTTACAGCGACGGTTATTAACTGCTGTTGTAGGCTATTTTTTTTTTTTGGGGGGGGGGATGAATAAAGTCATAAATAAAACGACAAAAAACTACAAGATACAAGGGGTTTACCCTAGGAGCTAACCAACTATACAAAGACACATAAACCAAAAAACAAGAAAAGACAATCTAGACAGTAAAAACCATCCTGTTCACGCACCACATAAGCAAAGAGCAAATGAGGGCAGGAACAAGGAAAACAATACAAAAAAAACCTAAGAGCAACATAACCTGGTTACATTGAAAAGATCCAAACAACAAAAGGAATTAGAAACAAAACCCAAAAGGCCATATTACAGGGACAATTTGATTACAAAATGATCAAAATAGACACCATAGCCCTGCTCACATTATATATCTATAACAACACTATTTTATTCTAATGGCTCAATACTCAATAATTGTAAAAGGTAAAAGAGTCTGCATTTTCATAATCTCAAAATATCCAAAACACCTTAATTAAAAGGTTCATTACATAAGCTTGTAATACAAAAAAGATCCAATGTTTCTAGCAAACTAATAGCCCACACCATAATCCAAAAGAAAAACTTGTCACATAACAATAGTACTCAAAAGTATTACTCATGACACCGTTTTATAAAGATCTCCATGAAAAATGTTCAAATCGAGAAATGACGTCCATTGTTTGATACTTCATATTATCTTATTTCCTGCAATAAAAATAATTGAATGAGCATAAGTATCATTTTCAATTTTAAAATCTATAAAGAAAATTTAGACTACAAATAATTCTCGACAAGTCTTATTTATTTATTTTTTTGGTAAGTATATGGTTTACATATCAAAAAATAAAGATTACAATGAAGTTGAAGATCATAAAGCCAAACATTAGTAGCAACCACCAAATCAAGCAACCACTAGCAACATCCAAGGGTCTATTTTTAATTGTATATTACAGTTTGATACGTTGCTGATATTTAAATTTGTTCGATTGCCCAATTCTCTATTTCATTGGTTTGTTTGGTATTTTTACGGATGCCAATAAAGGAAGCAAAGTAGAGAGTCAACCTATCAAACCCCAATTTTGTCCAAACTAACTAACTAACTAACAATTTTTTGGTAAAGAAGTCATTAACAGTGATTCTAAATTTGTGTCAATGTATGTGTATTGTAATGATGATTTACCTCGATTAGAAGGTTGCATTTCATGACTCCCAAAAGAGGATCTTTGATGTGTTCGTGGAGAAGCTTGGTCCGGAATGCCACTAGATCCATCTGTCGCCTAATTTATACAATACAATTTACATAAGTATGCATAAATTTAGAAAATGATAACATATGATAAATGCATCATATAAAAGAATATGTTATATGTAGTTATACCTGCAAACCACTAGAACTATGTCTCTGACTCATCAAAAATGCTACTTGCTCTTTTAAAGAGTTTATTACAGCATCTTGAGCTTGCAACTGAATACCTTGAGTTTGCAACTGATCACCTTGAGTTTTTAGTTGTTCCTTCAACTCAATTATAGTGTCTTTGTCTCTCATTCTCTCTTCATCAGAAACCATTCTTAAGTGGTCAAAATTATTACACATGAAGCCATGCTTGGAAGGAGTAGGCCCAAATCCTAAACCTCGAACACGACCATGATGCTCTTTACCCATCACTTAAGAATAAATATCATTTGGTGATCAAGATATACGTCCACCAACATTTCCTTCAGAGCTACTTGGTTGTGAGCTCATCAAAGCTTCTAGTTTTTCCTATAGCATAAATGGGGGGAAAAAAATAAGAAGACAAAGAGCGAGAGTTATTGTTTGCCACAAACACATTAAAATTTTGAAAATGTAACTTATTAAATGGGCATACAATTTTTGTAGCTGTTGCTTCATTGACTGGTGTCCCATCATTCCTTTTGTGAATCGGTATATATAATTTTGCTCGATCTAGTGCAATCTTATCTTTTTGCTCCTATGTAACAATCATATCATTTGAGAATAAATTCATAATATAATGTGCTAACCAAATTCAAAATATAAAACAAGGAATGAAGTTTGAAATACCATATCATATGCATGTTGTGCATAAGTTTTAGATCCTCCTGTATGTGCACTTGTTTGCTCTCGCCTGCTTTCCTTATTGGTTGTACTAAGTTCCTTCACTCATAAATGCATAACAATATGTTAAAAAAAAATGATATAATGACATTGTATTATTTGATTGAAAACATACATCTATGCATACATGTCCTTCCTTTGAAAACCAATACGCGACAAGGTCAGCATAGTGCTCACGATTAACTGTTAAAGGCGCAGTAGCTACTATCTGTGCTGTTGTCTTTGTCTCATCATAGTACTTTGCTTTTAAACTACATTTCCAATTTCTCCATTTCTCTTCCATTGACTTCAATGTTCGATGCCTAATCATATCCCTTCTCTCATCTTGAGGAATGGCAAACTTGGACTATAATTGTATGTTTTTTCATGTTATGAACAATCTTAAAATTATCAATACAATAATATAAACTAAATTTGTGCATTTCTTTGCCTAATTCTCATATTTTTACATGGAGATAATGAACCACACTAATTTCATACTTCTTACTTCTAGGCGACACGTATATCCTAATACAGGAAAGGAACTTTCAGACAATCTTAACAACAAACATATGTCCTAAAAAGATTTATTCAATGAAGAAAGGCCTCAGTAGTTATATAATCAAACATTTGAAAATTGTGATCATTCTACCTACATGCAAAAGCAGAGGAGTTAGGAATTCAAAAATTGAAGGACTGCCTATTGGGAACGCTTTGAACTACTTTATAGATTAAATTCTGGATTTTAATTTTTTTCCTATGCTCATTTTCTGTCAATCTGCTCAGAAAATCAGTGTATTATTAGTATTGTCTTATTGTATATTGTTATGAACAACATATTTGATTTTGGATTAATGATAATGATATGATCAACAATGTGTTATTTGTTGTGTAAGAAAATTGAATCTCTGATTGTGTTTTTTGAAGGTCATTTGCAAATAAGCAACATATACATGCACATGCTGGTATTAGGAATAGAAACCAAATTAATGATTCAATTATAACTTAAATTTGTTATAAAATCTAAGATTGTAGTTGAAGTTAACACAATTTTATTTACTACTGTAGAAGAATTATCACAAAATACTTATAGTTAGAAAATTACCATGATAATATTCCAACAATCTTCTTTATATGGATCTGGCACTTCATGCCAATTCTTGTACTTAATTGGGCATAAGTGTGGCTTTCTAGCAATGGTGCCTATGAAGCGACTGAATATACCACCCTTTGTAGAAACAGCCTGCAAATCCTTGTTGAAAGTGAGCATAATGCGTTCTTCTGGAGTCAAATTCCACACTTCAACCATACGTGTAATTCCCCGCGTGTTTCGCTTGGTCAATTCATCTATTACAATACAACAATGAAATATATCATGCAAGTTAAAGGTGACTTGTAATTTGTACCTCAACTAAAAATCTAATAATACCTGTACGTTGCATTTCTTCTTCCCTTAACCAGTCCTCATCTAAATTGGTCCCTGAATGTCTTTTGCAACAAAATTTTCATTTTTAAAGATCAAAATATTTGGTCTCTAAAACTCTTATATGCTGTAGTGTAGTAGGGTCGTTTAGAAATGACAAAAGATATGGAGTTAGGTTTCTCTATACCAGGTCATGTTTCTGTTTTGATAAAAATAAAAAAATAACAATAGTAATAATTAAGTAATAGACATACATTTCATTTTGGAAGAGGCTTCAAACCTGATTTTGATAAGAATGTATTTATACTCGTCTTTAAGTTCTCTTGGACAAGAATATATTCTAATAGTGCACTCTTTTGTGCACTTTTTGTGACAAATATCACTATTATCAAAATATTAAATTTTAAAATAATATAATTTTTGATATAGATGTCAGTTTTTAATAAAATTAATATTTTTAGAATTCTCTCATCAAGATCTATCAAATAAGATCTATGTTGACTATGAAATTTTTTAACAAAAAAATAAATAAATTATTACCGTTGAAATTGATGTATACAATAACAATAACATATTACTTTGTTTGACAGTAACATGTTACTCTGTCTCACAATAACATGTTACTCTATTTGACAGTAATACGTTACTTTGTCTCATAGTAACATCACCACTAAAAAAAACATTTTTTTGCGACCGCTACAAGCCGTTGCAAATAATAGAAATACAGTTGCAAAAGACTTTTTGCAACGATCCATGCGACGACAAATACGGGTCGCAAATGTGGGGGTGGCAAATATTTTTTGAGATCGCAAAATAACAGTCGCAAACTATTTGCGACCGCCTAACTTACTTATGGCAACTGATGTTTTGCTGTCGCAAGACAGTATAAAAAATGCCTACAATGTATTAGCGACCATCTTGTTACCGTCGCAAAAAATTTGAAAAAAAAAAAAAAATGCCTCCAATGTATTAGCGACCCATCTTGTTACTGTCGCAAATAATTTTTGATGATATTTTATGAATAGTACAATAATAGCTTTCTAGCGACGAATATTTTGAAACAAATCTATATATCAAATAAGATCCCGCTAAAAACAATAGTACCAAATCATTTATTTGAGACAAATTTGGCAAAACCATCTTTAGTTTTAGGCTCTAAAAAATGCTATTTAAGCTACAATTCCTTGTAAAATTACATAATCCAACAAGCTAGCTGGAAAAAGTGTCACTAGAAAACATTTATAGTGGCATTTTTCAATATAGTGGTGCTTTTTAAAAATGCCACTTTTAGGTTTTTACTCCCAGAAAAATGAATACATGAAACCACTACAAAAATTTCTTAATATCTCTAATAAATCACCAAATCTCATAACCAAATTACAACTGATTCTTTCTTACTTGATTGATGGAAGTACTCATTTATCTCCTTATAGGCCTTCACCTAGCATAGTTCTCACTAGGATTGAGTCTGCAACAATCTACAATTTCATTGTGAGAAATAGAGTTATTGCATTGAATAAGAAGACTATATAAAATTGCCAAGAGTAATAACTTGCAAATTCATTTCTTCAATCCATTCAATTTAAATACAAACCGCAATCTCACTAACCTTCCGAAATCAGTAGGAGATATCCATGATAAACCCCGTTATTTAAATAAAAACTCCAAACCTTGCAAGAAAATGGACAAAAACAATAGAAATGATAGTTAACCCCAGGATACATCAGTGAGTTAGTTTATTTAATATTTCCAACAAAAGGAAATAATGAGATATATCATAGAAAACAAAATACAAGACACCTTATTTAATATTTCAAGTAACATGGTTCAATATTGATTGTCACCAACTCATTGCATGCTATTTAGTTTTTTTTTTGTATCCATAAGTTCTAAAGTTTTTTTTTTCTTTTTTTTCTTTTTTTTTTTTATTAAAGCAAAGTGTTGTAACAAAGAAAATACTGGATAACCCAAAGCAATAAAATAATAATAAAGCATGAGCCAAGGATCATACACATTCATAATGAAAATCTTATGTAGGTGTAAACATAGAGCTTATAGCATATAGGAGATTGAACTAGCAGATGATTAGTCCACAGATAATAGAAAGTATGACTTAATTCAAGAATCAAGCATTTCATTACAAAACCAGTACAAATACTTCACTAGTGCCAACAAATGTCTTAAATCATTAGGCATGGAACATCTAATTTTGTAGATTCTGACACACACAATGTCCTTCACAAGGACTAACAAGATTGTGGGATTGGCCAGAAGCTTCATTTGTCATAACTCACAAGTCCAACCATAATTATTAGAGAATAAATAAATTCAAGAAATATATGATTGACCAGGCCTCAAGTACCTAGTTGCTCATGTGTCCCTAAAGCCACATTGACGAATAGCTACAACTGCACTCATATGGCCTAAGTACATGTGTTTTAGTAATGTCAGCAATGTCAGGCGACACGAAGGTATCAATGAAGGTTAAGGGTAGGAAGGGAAGTCACAGAAATGGTAAGGTGATGCCTTCACCAATTAGGATGTAACACAAAGTTATTAAACTAAGGGACATACCTTGTCGCTATATTAAGAATGTGCATATTGACTGTGCTTCTTGAGCTCCCATGCATCATATCTAAGATCCCAATGAAATGGGTCTGCAAAATAATTGATATACATTGCCTTTAGTAGTCTTGTTTAATACTATATTATGTTTCTAAATTATTCAACCATGAAACTTGCAAATAGATAACATAACAAAGAAAAAGGTGCAAGCATGAAGTAAAACTGTTGTGAACTTGCTATCATTCATTCAAAGATTTTTTTTGAACTTGGGGGAACATGGAAGTGCATGTTATGAGACTTGTAATGTTCTGAAAATAATGCAATAATTCAACAGTAAAGACTAATACTAACAGACTATTAGGCTTTCATTAATCAGAGTCCATTTACAAAAGGGCGCATGTATTACACATTCATAAGCTCTACCCTAAATCTATAGCATGTGGCCCCAAATTAAATGATCAACAAAATAAATGCCCTACGGGCTTACATCTTTCCAAGATAGTTCTTGGTTACAACAAAGGTGAGCCTAGCTCAACATAATTTAAAGCCCTTGGCTATACAAAAATAGATATAACAAAATAAAAGTTTTTGCTCAATTCGTCTAAGCTACTACCTTGGCGGAGGTATATCACCAGCACCTGAAAATGATTTTTTCCAAATAGGGTGAGCCAAAGCCTAGCAAAAACAATCTATTAACAAGGTTATAAACATGATGCACATGGCCAATGCTCAAAATAAAATCATTTACAACTCTTCTTCTCAAATCCATATTATGCCACGTATGATATCCCAATCCATTTTATATCAATTCGTTTCATGTCATTTCATATCTCCTCAATTCATGAGTCATATCAATTGTTATCCAAACAACCCAACTGAGATTATAGCTCAGTGGTTTTCTTACCACACAACCATTACACACAAACACTTCAATTTGCCATTTTACGAAAATTTCGTCCGCGGGAATCGACACCCATGTATACACAATGTTTTCGAGACTTTCACCTTGGACGCACAGGCTAACTTAATTCAATGGAGTCCATCCCCTTTCTTCTTCTAAACATGGAGTACGTCCCCTTTTTTCTCCCAAACATCATACATATATAATGTGTTAAACACAGTCATATTCAATGACAATCAATAAGAGATTAGTTTCAATTTATCTAATCCCCATGCAATTTCTACAACAATCATAGCCATCCC